GGGGGGGAATCGATTTGGAAATACATGATCTGAACACAAAATCATATTTCTCTGAGTAAATGTGAGTCCACAAACAGAAGCAAGCCTGAGAGTGCGTTTAGAGGGGAGGACGAGATAGATGAAAAGTCTTAGACCTACATTGTTTTAAAGCACAGTGAACGTTCCTCCATATATATGCTACCAATAAAAACAATTATTCAGTAACTAAACTGTTTCTAGAACACACTTCAGGGATCAAAATACTAAACAATAAAACAAAACAGAAAAGGGAAGGGTGATAGCAAATACTGCTTAGACAACTGCATTGGGTTTATGCAGCAAGGTTTTGGTAGTGAGGGATGTTATAGGGGTGGCCTTTGGGAGAAGAGACCAGAAGTAGCTCCATGTTGGAGAGAGCCAGTTCCAGCCAACTCCAAAGTGGACCCACTGCTGGGCAAAGCTGGGCCCATCAGCTGTGCTGGGGGCACCTCTGTGATAACACATCTAAGGGTAACAAATTCTGTGTAGCAGCTGTGAGAGGGAGGAGCGAGAAAAATGTGAGAGAAACCATGCCACTGCCTGAAACACCATCTTAGGCCATCAGTGGATAATTGTGCTGCCTGCATCAATCCAGTTTGAGAGGTTCTAAGGCTGCAAGTACATACTTTTCCAAAGCAAACATACATAGATCATAATTGTCTTCACCATTAAATTAATGCCTCATAACTGACAAATTGCCTTGCTTGTGTTCATGTTTCACTGAACTGTCTCTTGAGCCACTCGCCACATTTTAATTGTGTATAGGAAACTTACCCAAAAATACATTCTTGGACGTACACATGCACTCAGATCAGCATAGCACAGCCAGGAGCTGTAGTGGTTCAAGACTGAGTATTTTCATAAAAATTTCAGGCTACAGCATTCAGGCTGTTATTTGCCATGTTATGTGAGCAAGGGCACATCATACAAGTAGAATCCACTGAGATGGAAAGCATCACAGCTACCAAGAATGATGAAGACAACACTACAGTATGTGCTTAATTCTGCTTGAAACCGGAGGTCTGTCATTCTGAAGAAGTGGCTTTCATTTCCTTGTGTGAAACACTGTCAATTACTGTATTCAAAGAAAGCATGCTGCCACTTTCAAAATGAATTTGTTTATAGATTTGCGAATCACATTTTTATTTCACAGTAGCAGCTCAGCATGCTTTCCGCAAAGACAAGGCTAAACCAAGACATTTTTCTATGCCGATACTGTATGAAATGCAGTTTAAAACATGCTGCTGCCACGCCAGCAGCTCTATTACTTTTTACTTAGCACCGCACGTCAGCTGAGAGCCAAAGGAATTTACATCAATAAGACATACCAAGAAGCATTCCTGATGCAAAACAGCAAGAGCTGCACGATCTTGCCCGAGAGCCGCTTCTGAAAGCAAATGTTGGAGCATTTCTCCCTTGACTGAGCACCTCTGCCACCTGACCTCCGTGGTATGAAGGAACGATACAAACTTCTCAGTCAAATTTGCAAAGCCTAATAGCTGCCAAAAACCTGCTATAGACTTCTACTTTCAAACAGTTCTGAATTCTCCTAGCATCTGGCTGGCTGTCATCGTATTCTGACACAATCAGAAATGCACAAACCTCCTGGGAGGATCTATTCAACTACTAAGTCTCCTGACCCATAGTTTAGAAGACTGTCTGTGACTGAAACAGTTATCACCCATGCTAACCCTTCTCTCTGCAAAGAAGAGATAAAACAGGTACTCTCCGAGGTCTTTACCCACATACTGTCTTCATGCTTGTATACATCTGCAGGAAAGCAATCACCACTTGATCCTTTGACCTCAGCTGCTTTGAAAGCCTGCACTGCAGCTGGAAACACCACCAGATACACTTGGGTAGGTATTACAGACTCATTTACTGAGTGAGAAATGATGGACTATTTTCTCATCTGGAATAACTACGTTCACAATTTTTTTCTCTCCAGACTCATTGAACGATCAGGATCATAGAACAGCTGCCACCAAATAAAACTGAACAAAGCCATAGTCAGTACTGCCACTCCAGCACATACTTCTCAGTTTGTTCAGTATGACCTCATAGTACAATTTCCCCATTTCAGACTAAATTGTTTTCATTACCTTTTCTGGCTGCTTTTGACAGCTGAAAATTTTGCAAGTCCACCAACATTCTTGGTAATTTTTTGCTTAACTACTTCAGCCCAATGCAATGAACACTGGTTTTGTCCCAAAGATGCTTCAAACCTTCTTCTAATACAAGAACACAAAAATCTGAAAGCTTCAGTTGCACAGTTAGAAACTATTTGTGTCGATAAACGTGGAAAACTCTTTCTGCTAGTTTCACAATAACGTACAGCAGTATTTCACAGTAACACTGAAAAATCAGACCAGGACAAGAAAGCAGGTCCATTATAGACTAACATTTTTAAGCACTTCAGTAGCCATGATTTAACAGTATCACACAAACAGCATTTCATGCCCTGTCAGATAATGGGGAAAATTAGACCACCACAATTGCTATAACTCTACATTTTAGCTCTTTAATATTTGAAGAGACTTAAAATATCTGTACTCAGTCTCAGTCACTACCCATTAAAATCTAAGTCAAGTATTAAAAATACATTTGTTCTCTGGCAAACAATTGGTTGACTGTTTTGATCAAGTTATTGTGTCCCTTGCAGAACAACCTACAGCAAGGTAGAATGAAGAAAGGGAACATTTTACATCTGACCTGCCAATTACACTGAAAGACAAACAACTTTGCTTCTATATGCAACTTGCTGAGATATTGAAAAAGGAAGTTGGGAAACAAATAGCTAAAAGCCTTCCAACTTCAGTTTTCCCCCGGTGAAAAGCCCAGAATCAGAGTTTTAACAAAAAACCCCTAGTACCTAGAGTTCTTTGTGCTGGCTGAGCTTTTCCGTCCCCCTTGAAAACACCAAATAATGTTCAGAAAGGATAAGTCCAAGGAGACCTCCTGCAGCAGTCAGCCCTGAGAAGCAGCAGGCAGCTGGCCTACCCAACTCTCTCAGGAATAGTCAAACAGCTCCTTGAGAAATTACTAGTAACACGTAAGAAGACAGAAAAGTCAGTCTGACAGCAGAAAAAGCAAGAGAAACGCTAGTTTCTGCACCCAGAAACATAGATATTTCCTTCATGAAAAAAAAAAAAAAAAAATTGCTTGGTGAGCCCTCTTACAACTGGAGAAGAAAAAAAAAAAGCCAGCGTCTGCTGCCAGGGAGATCTTCAGCATCACCCTGCCATCAAGACAGTGTGTTCTTTAAACTAAAAGAGAATTTCAAAAAGGCCACAAAATAACTTACTATCCTCACAAAAGCTGAAGCAGAAATTGAGCATTCATAGACAGTAACCGCTACCAACTTTCTACTTTGAAATTAATCACTAGATTATAACATGCATGCAAAGGTCTACATGACCTTTCAGGTAGTCCCTCAGCTGTAGTTTCAGACAGATGCAGATGGACAGTAAGCAACCTAATTTGTATACTCGGTACATCACTCTTCACCACCACAAGTGAGGTGATGTTGTAAGCGAAGCCCCTGAGCAAGACTTGCATGATGAACCCCACAATTTCAGTTGTTCAATTCAGCAGAACAGGGCAGGTCTCCTCTAATTTGCAGGCAAGCATCACCTGTTTTTCTGTCACATTAAGTCTGATAGGCATTAGATGACAGCATTTTCTACAGTTTTAGTAAACAAACAGCATCTCTAATAATTTTCTGAAAAATACATGGAGCAAATGAACATGACTTCAAACCGCTCAGAGATCTGAAACTTGAACAAGTTGCTTTGAAAGCCACACAAGGCATGCTGGGGTTTCATTCCAATATTCTCTACTGCAAGAAAGCTCAGCACCTACCTGTGCTTTTATGCTGCCCTGAACAGCTCCATTTCAGACTCCTACCTGCATTCCTCAGGTCATCAGTAAGGCAGGAAGCACATACAAACTCAATGACAAAATGACCAAAGCATGAGACTATTAATGGTCTTTTTTTCTTCTGCCTCCTCAGGGCACTGCTAGCATCTACCTTTTCTATGTATAAACAACTGTCATGAAACTGGAACAAAATTAACATCTCTGATCTGTTCTCCCCACCACGTGGAGTCAATAGACTCAAAAGCTATTCTTATGGGGAATACCAGAAAGGCACTAGCAGAGAGCATATTATTTGAGAAATCAAGCAAATAAATCTCTGAATAAATACAGCAGAGACTGAAACTAATAAAATTCACAGTTTGACACGGAAAAGCGCAGGAACAACGAGAAAATATT